ATATTCTGATTTCAAATCTTTCTGTTCTGTTTTTCTTTTTTATTTGGCTTATATATACTTAAATTTTATTTTCTTCTTTCTGTTCACGATGATACTATCATCTTTGGATGATAGACAAGAATACTGTTGTTGTTGTTGTTGTTGTTGTTGTTGTCAGAAATATTATCTTCTGCCTTTTTTCTTTTTGTTTTCACAGAAAAATAAAATACATCGACATATGTGTATTCATCAGTTTTTATATATCTTTATCAATGTAAAAAAATTTTTTTTGAAATGAATTTAGTTGTTGATATGAAAAGAAAAAAAAAAAAAGACGAGGAAGAAAAACGAAACGACAGAAATGAACGAATTTCTTTGCTACGTTTCTCTCCCCGCCGTCACCACCCCATCGCAACTCCCGCTTCCTCAACTTATGTTTCCCGTTTCATCATTTACCTCACGCATCAGTTTTTTTCATTTCACAAATTGCTTTAGTGATTAATTGAGATAAAAGTTGATGTAAGAAATGTCAAACAGATAGAAATTGATGATGTACAGTTTTGTTTTTTTTTTTTTCATTTCTTGCTTTTGCTATTTTTTTTTTTTCTCTTCGTACAATTAAACGAAAGTTAAACGGAAAAAGCAGTTTTACTAAGAGTAAACAATTTATTTCTGGCTGGTGCTAAGCGACAGATATATCTGAAACATATTTTATACATCTTTTTAGTTTTTCAATTTTTTTTTTCTTTTTTCATAATACATAAATAATATAGGAATTTTTGATTTACATATACAACAACAACAAAAAAAAAAAATATTGGTATTTTGGTGTTGTTGTTACCGCTGCGGTTTCTGCTGCTTCTGCTACTTCTGCTACTGCTTTTTCTGATGCTGTTATCGTTCCATTTTTTTAAATTCTTTAAAAAAAAAAAAAAGAAAGAAAAAGAATTTTTTTTCTATTCTTACAAATTGTTTTATTATTTTACCATAAATAAAAAGTGTGTTAGTTTGTTGCGGTACGGTTATTGAAATGTATTCTGTCTTCAAAGACTGCTGCATTTATATGTGCAGTAAATGTTACTGTGAAATTTTTGTTGTACAAATAACAAAGCCAAAAATTTCACATATTTTAGTTTCCTTTTTTTTTTTGCTTAATTTTATCGATGAATTTGGGTTCTGTTAGTAAATGTATAACTGTCATAGCAGAAACAAAAAAAAAAAGAAAAAAATTCCAGGTGAGAGAGAAAAAAAATGAGAAAAATGTGGTGGAGGGAAAAAGTAACAAAAGAAAAACTTTCTTTTTTTAAATTGTTATTTTTTTGTTTAATCAGTAAAAAGTTCTTTATTTAAAAAAAAAGAAAGAACTTTTTACATTCATCTTCCCCCGCCACCCACGCAAAATTTGCCTTTTTAATTTACAATCTGTGTTCAGTTCCCTGGCTTTATACTCAGTTCTTTCAAAACTGTAATAACTTTTGTATCTTTCTTATCTTTCTTTTGTTTCCTGTTTTTTTTTCCTTTTATAATTTCTTTTTTTTTTTTGCTGTTAACAATCTATGAATAATTAAAAAAAAAAAAGTTGGTTTTTCCACTACTTCATTCACCATATAATTTGATTTTTTTTCCTCTTATTTTGTTAAAACAGTTGGTCATTTTTGTTTTGGCCAAAACAACAAATTTACATTAAAATAATAATTCCCTTTCATTCCTCTCTCTCTTCTCAATTTATTATAATACAATGACATCGATCATCACAAAAGCAAAGCAATATGATCATATTGCTTTGCTTTCTTGTTTAGATTTCTGTGAATAAATAAAAATCTACAGAGATATACAAAACAAATACAAATATGTTTTAAGGTTAAACTTTGGACAATTATATAATAATAATAATAATAATAATAATAATAATAATAATGAATAATAATAATAATAATAATAATAATAATAATAATAACACTGAATTATTCATACATAAAATATTAGTTTCAACTTTTTTTTTTCTTTTTAAATTCTATTTAATTATTTTATGAGATATCAAATGTTTTATTGGAAAATTGTAAAAAAAAGAAAAAAAAAAAGGAAAGAAGCTTAATAGCAACAATTGTATAAATTATGGTTACCTGGTTGCGCTATTTGCCTAACCAAATGTCGGTATCAATGCATCGTCAAGCTTTCAATTTTTCTTTTTTATTTTTATTGCTCAATAGGTTAACTGAAAAAGCTCTATTTGATTTTGGTTCCGACTTCACCAATATAACTTTTGGCTTTTTAAAATCCTTAAACGTCCCACATAATTACTGTTTCCTTTTTTTTTTTTTCTGCTTTACTGACAAATTTAGTTCCTGTTGTAATCGGAATGTCATTGAAAGCTGTTTATGTGTAGTCTCAAAAATGCTAATTTTTGGTAGCAGCACGGATAGAGCACTGATCAAATTAACGTGGGATGTCATCAGCACAACTTCCACCAGTGAATCATCGTTACTGATAATAAGCTGAGGACAGTGTTAATAAAAGACGGGAAAAAAGGAAGTAAATGCCAGATTAGGTGTAAGGTACGAGGAATAACAACGCCGCTGTTTACTTGGTGTTGGAGATGGTGGTTTCTGTAAAGGCATATTGCTCTTTTTTCGTTATTTTTTCGTCTGATTCATCATCTAAGAAGCTGCAATAAACAGCGTTCTATGTGGAAATGGTGTCATAACCAATACGGTGAGCTATTTGCGCACGGATTTGTTCAGTTCGATGAAGGTGTTTTGTCGTTTATATATGTCCAGTTGTTGTTATTTATTGAGTGTTTATTTGCGTTTATACATATTTTCGTTTTTCGAAAAAATTTTTTAAGTAAAATCTTTAAAAACAAAAGGTATCGACTGTATAATGCATAAGTGTGTATAGCTTTTACGAATACGAATTACTCAGATTATATACATAGATGAATTTTAGAAGAAATTTTGTCAAATTTTTTTTCTCCTCTTTCCCTTGTCAGTTTCTGACCGCGTAAAATTCGTCTATAATACGTCTAATCGCGGTAACGACAACAACAAGAATAAAGCGTTTATGTTTAATATCTAAACTAGATTAGGATGAAGTATACGGGGGTGGAAGAGGTAGAATATTGTAACTTTCTTTTGATTTTTTTATAATTGGATATAATTGAGTGTTGGAAGAAAAGGTGAAGGAACTTATTGTAC